GAAAGTTTGCAAATCCCTGATTTAGGAAAAATTGTAAGAAGAAAGAAATATTTTGGTGTTTTCGTGTATCATTTTCAAGTTTCTTCAAGTAATGTGGCAACTATGTTTAGGAAAAGTTTTAGAATCCTCCTCTCACAGATCTTGCCTTCACTCTTAAAAAGACAAGTTTCAACTTTAAGCACCCACTGATGGTATAATGTCCTCTGATAATTCGAGACAGAGGAGAGGTCCTACTGTGACCTTCTCAGGGTGGGGCCTGCTGAGTTAGGGGCCAAGGTCCTGGGTGCTCCCAGACTAGGGGTAATGAAGGGGAGACTCCCAAAGCTTGCAGTGATGACTGATAAGGATTTGCAGAGGCCCTGGAGATTGTCATATGGAGTGAAGTGAGTCAGAGAAAGACAAATGTCATATGATATCACTTATACATGGAATCTAAAAAATGGTACAAATGAGCATATTTGCAAAACAGAAATAGAATCACATGTAGCAAACAGATTTATGGTTGCCAAGGGGGAAGTGAGGGAGGGGTAAACTGGGAGATTGGGAACTTCCCTGGCAGTCCAGTGGTTCAGACTCCACACTTCCACTGCAGAGGTCATGGATTCAATCCTTGGTCGCAGAACTGAGATCCCACGTGCTGCATGGCATGGAGCGCGCGCGCGCGCGCACACACACACACACACACACACACACACCACGCACACACACTGGGAGATTGAGATTGACGTATGCTGCTGCTGCTGCTGCTAAGTCGCTTCAGTCGTGTCCGACTCTGTGCGACCCCATAGACGGCAGCCCACCAGGCTCCCCTGTCCCTGGGATTCTCCAGGCAAGAACACTGGAGTGGGTTGCCATTTCCTTCTCTAGTGCATGAAAGTGAAAAGTGAAAGGGAAGTCGCTCAGTCGTGTCCAACTCTTAGTGACCCCGTGGACTGCAGCCCACCAGGCTCCTCCGTCCATGGGATTTTCCAGGCAAGAGTCCTGGAGCGGGGTGCCATGCCTTCTCCATATGCACACTACTATATATAAAATACATAACTAATAAGGACCTACTGTGTAGCACAGGGAACTGTACTCAATACTCTGTAATGACCTGTATGGGAAAAGAATCTAAAAAGAATGGATATGTGTATATGTAAAACTGACTCCCTTTGCTGTGAACCTGAAACTAAGACAGCATTGTAAATCAACTTGTACTTCAATAAATTTTAAAAAAAGATTTGCAGTAAACCTCTAAATTGGGCACATGCTTAGATGATGCTTTGGAGGAGCACTTCCATGTAACTGGATTCTGCAGATAACTTGCCAGCCTCCTTCGTTTTGTATGGCCAGCACTATGACTGGTACGTTCCACGCTGCCCAGCAACTGTCAATGTTGAGTTCATTGACTCAGGCTGGAGCCATCCACTGAAAGGAGCTTACCAAAATTACTTCCTCACTGCTTCTGCCCTGGATTGTTCCAAACCGTTATCTTCTGCTGAATTGAAATCCTGTGCTAACCCCTCTAACCAACACTGACAACTTGATTTTCCTAAATCCCTTCTGTAATTCCTGACATAGTTCTTCCCTTTGCCAGAATGACCCATAATTATAAGTAAGTTTGATATATTTTTATGTATCATACTGCTACATGAAATTTTAGGACTTTGGGACTCATACTATTTCTTGGAGAATGGGATATTGGCTTGTAACAATTCAGACAATGTTGATGTTAGCATGTGAATATTAACATTCACAGACAATGTAACCAAGGCATTTGCTCCCAGGAGAACTGGAATCAGGAATTCTAGTAGGAAAAGCAGTAGGAATATGGGTGTTTATACATAATCACATAATAATTTGCTAAATCATTTTTAGGGCCTTTTAGTGGCTTTGAAAAGCACATGGTTTTCCCACCAGGCGAATAATAGTGCACAGGGATCCAACTGCATAGTTATAAATTATGATCATTTACACAGATTGTTCCACCTGTCTTTTGATAGCAAATGCAAAGTTAGTAAAGAGATTAATTGTATTGATATGTAATTAGACAATCTGTTCAAATGTATTTCAGGGATTTATTGGTAGTTCCCTGATTTAAAAAAAAAGAAAGAAAAAAGGCCACTTTGATATGAATTACGTTCCTTCCCTGGGAATGAAAGTCTGAAAATACAGGTGAGGAGAGGCGGACCCTGGGTACTGGTCACTGCTCCCTCTGTTAATGTCGGGCCTGGCTGCAGGGAAGCCTCCAGATGGACCCATGGAGTTCAGTTTCTGCAAGAGTCAGTCTGCCAAGATGCCCGGGGCAGAGAACAGCCGCTGGCCTTCCTCCTTGTGCTGTGGGGCCCCAGCTGAAAAGCCAGGGCTGGAGGTTAATTGCCTCTTGTTGGCACTTGTGGCCAGGATCTGGGTCCTCTGGCCACCCGAGGCCAACCCTGCCGAGGAACTGTGGTCCCGGGAGACAGAAGAATCCTGTTGATCTCTGAGATCCAGGCAAGGAATCTCCCGAAGAGCTGAATTACTCCCAGGAGTGGATTCCACCCTCCTGGGATGGAATCCTGACACAAAGCAGCTTCTTCCTTCTTGCTGCTGTTGTTCAGTCACTAAGTTGTGTCCGATTCTGCGACCCCATGGACTGCAGCACGCCAGGCTTCTCTGTCCTTCACCATCTCCCAGAGTGTGCTCAAGTTCACGTCCATTGAGTCGGTGATGTTATCCAACCATCTCATCCTTGGCAGCCCCGTTCTCCTCCTGCCTTCCCCCTGCTGCCCAGCCAAGGGACTGTAGGGTGTTAGGTCGTTTATCACCAAAAATAATCTCACCACTGTTGAGAGTATTAAAGACAAATAAACAAAACATATAGCAGTGAGCAAGCAAAGAAAAATGTTCACATACAAAGGGACTCAGAAAATGAAGATGGAACTAGAAATCCAAGATAAATATATGCAGAAATTTCCCAATCTGGTAGAATGGATGGGCCAGAGAAGAGGGATCCCCCCGCCCCTGCCCAGTGTCTCAAAGACAGTTAATTAAGGCAAAAAACAGACCTTCGAAATTTGACTAACATTTTCCAAAAAAATGAGCTGAAAAGGGCATGGTCGTTGATGAGAGCTAATTATATGAGAGAACAAGTGGGCAAAAATAAAGAAATGGTAGAAATCATGAGGGAAAGTCAAGAGTCGCAACTTGATTTTGGAATAAAAGGAGTCCCTGAAGGACAAAGGGAACAGAAGAGTAATAATAAACGAGAGAAGAAGATGTTCCTGAACTGAGGCGTTTCTGTCCCACTCTTTGCAACTCCATGGACTGCAGCCCGCCAGGCTCCTCCGTCCCTGGGAGTCTCCAGGCAAGGATGCTGGAGTGGGTTGCCAGGCCCTCCTCCGGGGGATCTTTCTGACCCAGGGATCGAACCCGAGTCTCCTGGACCTCCTGCATTGACAGGCACGTTCTTTACCACTGGCTCCACCTGGGGCTTGATAAAAAAGCAAGAATTACTATTCAAGAAGCTAGAATTGGGGCTTCCCTGACAGTCCAGTGGTTAAGACTGCAAGCTTCCACTGCAGAGGGCACAGGTTCGATCCCTGGTTGTGGAACTAAGGTCATGTAAGCCACGCAGTATGGCAAAAAAAAAAAATCTTTGGTAGATGATCTCAGATAAAGCAAAATTTAGGAAGAGGTGTGGTATCACTAGGAGTAGGGGGGTGAAAGATGGATACTATGCAGTTTGTAGGTTGCTAAGGGTGTGAGGGAAGAGTTAGCAAGCCCTTTTGTGCAGGAGAGGAGTTTGCAATTATTTAATTTGGATGCAATAATAAAAAGCTATAGGTTAATCTATGACAGCTGAGCATTAAGCTGGGAGATTAGAAAAATTGAATCTAAATAAACAAGGAAGAAAAAAAGACATTAACAATAATTTGCCCAAGCCAGAAGAGACAAGAAAAAGTTGAAAGATGAATATCAAATAACACACAATAAACTAAAAACATAAGACCAGGTATAACTTTGGCATGCTAAATGTGAGAAGGCTGAATTTTCCTATCAAAACTCATAGGAAAATATGCCCTTAAAGGAGAAATGGTTGATTACAGACTGATTTTTTTTTTAAATCATAGAAAATATGGTTATGTTTAAACACAAAATAAAGAGCCTATTGATTCTAGGAAACACATAGAACATGGTCCTCAGAAGTGGCTGAAAATCATCTATGAAATGATTAAGAGTGACACCTAAAATATTAAAGCATTTGGAATGCTTAGCAGAACATGCAAAAATTAGAGGAGTAGTCTCAAGGTCAAAAAATTGGCTTGACGTGAATGCAGAGCTCCCAGGGGGCACCAAGGCCAGTTGCCGCTCTGAGGGTGTTCGCATGTTCTTATCACACAGAACATGCCATACTAAGAGCTGTATCCTAGGCAGAAGGCGGGGCGATAGAGCATCAGGACACTGAGGTCTCTGCCTCTGTGAGAGAAGGAAAATGTCCTTCCCTCAAAAGAAAGTCGCGAGGAAAACTTCAGTCATGACCCTGACTCCAGAAGACTGAAAACGAGTAGGCTCTCCTGAAAATCAGACAGCACATGCCTGCCCACATGGGACTGAGATTCAAAGTCACTTTACTTTCAGGTCTGGGAAATGTCCACCAAGAAGTTGATTTAAAGGGGTACCAAATTTATAAGATACCTCAGGTCGCCTGGTCGACCAGCTCTTTCTGGGGCGGTGGGGGCGGGGGGAGAAGTACTGTAAGTACAGGTCTTGAAAATTTAGAGGAAATTAATGAAATAATACCTCTCAAAAACAGTTAATACTTTTACGTGTTTCTCTGATCACTAAAGATACATTTGGTCTGTGATGTTCTAGTTGGTGTGTTTTAAAACCATCTTTTTAATAAAATTTCATTCTAGATTTTTATATAACATATCTTCTCATTTTTTATGATAGTGGTGTAAATTCATGCACTGATAAACATATGACATATTTTGAAATAGATTGCAGGTTGGTTTTAATTTCACTCTTTTTTCCTCTAGGTGGCTTTTACAGTACTTTTTGATTTGGAAGCACTTCTGAAGATATGGTGTTTGGGATTCACTGGATATATTAGCTCGTCTCTCCACAAATTTGAGCTGCTCCTCGTAATTGGAACCACTCTTCATGTATATCCAGACCTTTATCATTCTCAATTCACATACTTTCAGGTAATACACATAATGCCTGTTTTTCTTTAGAATTGTTTTCTCTCCAGAGAGCATGCATGCATTCTAACAACTAGTAACTAACAATGATGGACTCAGTGACATCTTAAATACCAAAAATAGCACATTCATAAATTGTAGGGACTTCCTTGGTGGTCCAGAGATTAACACTCTGATCTTCCAATACAGGGTTGCTGGTTTGATTCCTGGTCAGGGAACTAAGATCTTACGTGTGCTGGTATAACCAAAAATAAATGAAATAAATCAAATATAATGGACTTCTCTAGCAGTCTAGTGGTTAGGACTCTGTACTTCCACTGCAGGGAGCACAGGTTCAATCTCTGGTCAGGAAACTAAGATCCTACATGTCTCGTGGAATGGCAAAAATAAAAATAAAAAATTACTGTTTATAAACTCCTAAAAATTCATAGTAATAAATGGAGATGTTTTTCATGCAGTTCATAAAAAGTTAGCAGAGTGCAATAGACATACATGTTTTATATTCACATGGGTATTATAATCTGAGCATGCATATTAAATTTTGACATTGATATATGACTTCATATATGACTTTAATTCCAAGAGTAGATCTCCCTTCTTAATAAGCCTAAATTTGTTTGCTCAACAGTACTTAAAATTGAAACAATAAAAAATAAAACTTACCTTTACAGAGTACAGTCATACTTTATTATTTAAAAATGCCTCTAAATTTATTTGTGATGATTAAATTATAATATCTATAATTTTTGCTTTATTATAACTGGGTATCTATTGTTTAAAGTGCATTATATTGATTCATATTACTTCATAATTGCTCAGTAAACAAAAGTGAGTATTAATGTTATGTTCTTTGTTAGCAATAGCCATGTGCTGAGTGATATTTTAAATATTTGGTCAAAATATATGTATATGGGATATCCTAATTTAAAAAATCTCAAATATAGTCATTTTCTGAGTTGAAATTTAGTCATTTATATAATTTGTCATGTAAATGTCAGAAGTTGCATTGTTTTCTTAATAGATATTTTAAAGAGTTGGAGAATTAAATGGCAGTAGAATTTTTAAAAACTATGCAGAGAAGAAGATTCTAATTCCTTAGATGAAAGAAAATGCATTCCAACTTCACTGATGAACTTATTTCTTGGTGATACCAAAGCTGTCATATTCAGAGCAATATTACCTTCAACTGCCAGATTACAACCTGAAACTGAATACTTCTGATAGCTAGAAGAAAGGACATGAAAATACAATTCACAAAAACGAAAAACATACCCCACAAACACACATAAAAAGCTGAGTCTCCAGTAATCACAGCCAAGCATATTGAACTCACAGAGGGGATCATGGTTCGAGCTTTCAGTACTATCAACATCTTTGAATGAAAACCCCTTGTCACTTTTTGGGTTATATCCTCAGGCTTGGTTATCATAAGTGAGATGGCTGGGGCAGGAGACATACACGTTTAAAACTCTTGATACAAAATATGCTTTCCCAGCATGTGTCATTATATGCTCTTGGGCACTGCTGTCTAGATTCACAGAATCAACATGCACATTTAGTACCTAATGTTAGAGAATCATTGTACATAATTGCAGAAAATATGCCTCATAGTCAAAGCTCGAGCATATGTCCTTTATAAGCCTATTAAATTAACCAAATTAACAAAGACATTGATGCCTTTTTCAGCAAGGATACCATATAAAATGTATTCAGGACTCGCTTTAAAATTGTTAGCATTTCTCCCAGATAATTTTTTCATCGAAAAGTTACACATAGGTCAAAGTTTTGCAGACAAAGATATTTAGTCTAGGATTATTGATGAGAGGGAAAAATGGGAACTGTTTCAGTGATAAATGTGAGGAATAGCTTGGTAAGTCATATGGAAATTTGACCATAAAAATGATTATGGTGAATAGTGGTAAAGAACCCACCTTCTAATGCAGGAGACATAAGAGACGTGGGTTTGACCCCTCAGTCAGGAAAATCCCTTGGAAAAGAGCATGGCAACCCACTCAAGTATTCTTGCCTGGAGAATCCCATTGACAGAGGAGCCTGGTGGGCTACAGTCCATGGGGTCACAGAGTCGGACACTGAGCGACTGAGCTCACATAGTAACTTAAAGATATGATTGTTTTATTTATGTATAAAACAGTATAAAAGTATATAACAGGTATAGCTACAAATCCAGCCTGTAAATAACATATGTAATTTATATTTGTTTATAAAATACCTATAAATAAAAAAATGGCTGGAAAGAAATAACCCAAGTTATTACAAATTGTTAATAGTCAGCATCTCTAGGTTCTTTTCTTCTAGTCTGTTTTACACAAAATATCTAAAATCTGTATGCATGGCACTAGTCATTGTATACAGATATAGACATATAGCTATAGATATGGTCACATAATGCCTGGTCAGTGAAGTTTGCATTTTTTTTTTTCTGGCCATGCCAGGCAGCTTGTGGGATCTTAGTTCCCCAACTAGGGATTGAAACCAGGCCCACAACAGTGAGTGCACAGACTCCTAACCAGTGGACCACCAGGAACTTCCCAAAGTTAACAATTTTAATGCCTGTATAATTTGTAATAGTTTAATTTTTTGTTAGTAGTTGAGTGATTTTCATTCGCATCTCTGTATCCATGGCCAACTTTATATTTTTCTAATGAGATAATTAGACACTGCCTCATTTATTTTTTGCCTAAGAGATAAGTCTCTCAAGAAGCTTAGATGTCTCAGGATTTTTGCAAATCACTGTCCTGAACAGATTGGCTCTTTATGGGCGGACTTTCATCTCCCTGGTTGGTCCTCACGCTTGTTTCTCATCTCACTTGACTTTCCTTCATCACGTTGGCAGCAGTTCTGCCCGGAGTGGATGTCACATTTTTCATATTTAAATGAAGTCAACATTTGAATACAAAATATCTCCCTTTATCAGTCATCTCTGAGAATTGGTGTTCAGTTGAGTCGCTCAGTCGTGTCTGACTCTTTATGACCCCATGGACTGCAACAGGCCAGGATTCCCTGTCTATCACCAACTCCCGGAGTTTACTTAAACTCATGTCAATTGAGTTGGTGATGCCATCCAACCATCTCATCCTCTGTCGTCCCCTTCTCCTCTTGCCTTCAATATTTGAGTACAAAACGTCTCCCTTATATCAGTTATCTCTGAGAGTCAGTATCACCCATCTATTTATCCAGGTGGTGTTTCTGAAGCACCTCCTATGTGCCAGGCACAGTTCCAGACCTTGAGGGAGAGAGTTGAACAAGACAGAGAAGATCCTCTGCTTAGGAAGCTTGCATTCTAGATGGCAAGCTTTTCACACACAAGTACACGAGGGGAATAGGAGTGCTGGAAATGTGATTCAGAAGGAGCAAGCAGGGTGAAAAGGAGAAGCTGTGGGGTGAGGGTTCTGTTTTGGCTAAGTTTGTCCAGGGAAGCCCTCTTTGATGAGGGGACATTTGGGCAGAGAAAGAGCGAATCTTGAGAAGGTCTACTGGGGGACTCATTCCAGGTAGAGAGGAACCACGTGACACCTGTTTTGAGGGGAACATGTGCTTAATGGAATGAACAGAGGCAGCTTTGTCCTACTAAAAGTCACAGAATCTTTACAGAATGGTGGAGAATCTGCCTGCCATGCGGGAGACCCAGGTTCGATCCCTGGGTTGGGAAGAACCCCTGGAGAAGTGAATGGCAACCCACTCCAGCATTCTTGCTTGGAGAATCCCATGGACAGGGGAGCCTGGCGGGCTGTAGTTCATGGGTTGCAAAGGGTTGGACACGACTGAGCGACTAACACTTTCACTTTCATTTCTGGTTCTAATAGCAGGGTGAGGACACTGGCTGTTATTTACTGTGTACCTACTGTGTGCAGACACCCTGCCGAGTGCATGGTTTCATTTGTTTCTTGGTAAATAGAGAATATACATGTAAACTGCTGTCCCTAGAGATTGAGTAACTCACCAAAGACCACATAACCAGCAAGTAGTGGAAACTTATTCCCAAGAAGTTTAATCTCATAGTTCACATTGTTCTATTTTCAAGACCTTTTTTTTTTTTTTTGATGTGGACCATTTTTAAAGTCACTGTTGAATTGGTTACTATATTGTTTCTGTTTTATGGCTGTGAGGCTCATGGGATCTTTGCTCCCCGACCAAGGATCGAACCCACATTGGAAGGGAAATTTTAACCACTGGAACATCAGAGAACTCCCCCCAGCAGTTCATGTTCTTAACCACGCAATTTTTACAGTCGTGCCATGGCTGTGCATTCAGTCATGTCCCGGCCAGGCTCCTGCGTTAGCAGGGAGATTCTTTGCCACGTGGGAAGCCCAACTTTTACAGTATCTCACTATTAATCAGCAGAGTGACTTTTACTAACTGACATAGAAATGTGACCAAGAAAAATATGCTTTAAAAACAACCACAAAATGTCCTACTGTGCTTACCTTTGAATGTCTGGTGTACTTTATTTCGTATCTGTAGGAACACAGAATCCAAAGGCTTTATTGGGTAGACAGAGTGAAAAGCACACTTATCCTCAAATAAATGAAAGGCGTAATTAGAGTCACCGATAAGGATTCTGCCTTGCCACGATGCAGGCTTACCCCCTCTGAAAATGCTGATCAAATCACCAGTGCGGGAATTGTATTAAGTTCTATTTCTTCCAGCTAGTGAAATATTAATTTATCAAAATCACACAGATGTACATAGGCTGTTTTCATTAGAATTTGGGACAGGATTCAGAATTGCTTAGGCAGTCTTTTAAATATGATTTTAATTCAAGTGGAGAAAACACAGGGTACTGTGAGCAATAGATCAGTTAAATTGCTCTTGTGAACTTTCCTGGACTCAGCTGTTCAATGATTAGATAGTGAATCATTTATGTCTGGGAATAAATAAGTCTGATAAATATGTAAAATCTTTTTATATTATTATTCTGGGTGTTAATATGAGTGTTACTGTTTTAATAGTTCTTATGATAAAGCTGTTTCTTATTTGCAAAGATGACCCAAGTGTAATATGCTCTGGTTTGAAAGTCCATGTTAAAAATTATAATGGGAAAAATTGGTAGCTTAAACATGCCTGTGGTATAAATGTTTAATTTGAGCAATATTATTTCTCGCATAAATTTTCTTCTTTATGTGTGTATTGTGTGGTGGGTGGGTGTTCAGTCACTCAGTCAGGTCTGACTCTTTGCGACCCCACAGACTATAGCCTGCCAGGCCCCTCTGTCCATGGGATTTCCCAGGCAAGAAGAGTGGAGTGGGTTGCCATTTCCTTCTCCAGGGGATCTTCCTGACCCAGGGATCAAACTCACTTCTGCTGTGTCTCCTGCACTGGAGAAGTTAGATTCTTCACCACCGAGCCACCTGGGAAATATTTTAAAGGAACGTGAATGAAATCTACATTTTGTCAGCTTCTTTAAACATTTTTCCACTAGTTGATTAGACATGCAGCTACAGTGTTCTGCAGACAACACGAATAAGATTCACTATCAGTACGCGTGCAGGGTAAGTCGCTTCAGTCATGTTCGACTCTTCGATATCCTGTGGACTATAGCCCACCAGTAGTTCCTGTTAATACAGAATCTGGTGGTAGGAGATAAGTGTGACTTCAGAGATGGTAAATTCAGAGGTTAATATGGCATCTCTGGAACTCAGTTCTTTTCTCCACACACCTTTTTTCTGTGTTGGTATAATGCTTAAGCTGGCTTTCTCCATGTGGTGGGAAAGAAGGCTCCTAGGAGCTCAGGACCTATGTGGCTTTTATAGTAATTCCAGTTGGGGATTAAAAATAGGCTACTTTTTCTAGGCCCCACAGAAGTTCTGATGACTGAGGTCATTGTGAATACTCTGGCCAGGCCTGGATCGTGGAGGTCAGGGAGTCCCTTCTGGGCCTCATAGATTAAGAGCAGAGTAGGAATGATTTGCCAAAGGAAAATTAGGAGGATTAGCAAGCTAGGATTGCTGGAAAATTTCCGAACTCATGTTTTTATTTGTGTAAAAATTTTAATATAAGCTTTTAAAGCATTTCTTTTTCCTTACCGTATTCTGTTTTCTCCTGAGAAGCCTTCAAAGATACCTTAAGTTCTTATTGATATTGAACCATCTTGAACTACTGTTCCAATTATCATCTTTCATTTATGCCAAGACCACAATTTTCCTATTTTAACGTCTCTAAACTGGAAAAGACCCTGCTGCTGGGAGGGTTTGGGGGCAGGAGGAGAAGGGGACGACAGAGGATGAGATAGCTGGATGGCATCACCGACTCAATGGACATGAGTTTGAGTAAACTCCGGGAGTTGGTGATGGACAGGGAGGCCTGGTGTGCTGCGATTCATGGGGTCACAGAGAGTTGGACACGACTGAGCGACTGAACTGAACTGAACTGAAACTGGGATCTGGCTTCCCTGGTGACTGAGATGGTAAAGATTCTGCCTGTAACACAGGAGATCCCGGTTCAATCTCCAGGTCGGGAAGATCCCCTGGAGAAGGAAATGGCAACCCAATCCAGTATTCTTGCCTTGAGAATTCCATGGACAGAGAAGCCTGGCGGGCTGCTACAGTCCATGGGGTCTCAAAGAGTCAGACATGACTGAATGACCAGCACTTTCAAACTGGGATCTGCCTTATAATCAGGGATGTGTTATATTTTAATTGGCAGCATTTTCAATTTCTTATCAGTACATTGAAAAAAAATCAACGGCATCTTAGACTTATTGAAAAATGTTACTTTTCTGTACTTTATACTTCAACTTTTAATTATATTCTACTTTATGCTTTTAATCTTACAGATATACCCTTAAGAGCTGTGCTTTTGTATTATATTAACACTCATTGTGTAATAGGAATAGCCATTGAGTCTTATTTCTCCAACACTGTGTTTGGCACATAATAGTATTTTTTAAGTGAATGAGAAAATTGCTTATGTGTGGGAGTTTTTGCATATATATTCAAAACATGTAAACATGTGTGGGTTTAGATAACCAGCTAAGCACAAGGTTCTAAAAAGTTCTAAACAAATAACGAAGTTCTAAAAATACAGGGCTTAGATAAGATTGATGTATGTTTCTGTCCAGTTGGTGAGTGAGTGAAAGTCATTCAGTTGTGTCCTTCTCTTTGTGACCCCATGGACTGAACCCCCCCCCCACCCCCGATTCCTCTGTCCATGGAATTCTCCAGGCAAGAATAATGGAGTGGGCTGCCATTTCCTTCTCTGCGGGGATCTTTCTGACCCGGGGATCGAAACCAAGTCTCCTGCATTGCAGGAGAATTCTTTACCATCTGAGCCCCCAGGGAAGCCCCCTGTTCCCTGTGGTCATCCAGAAAGTCAGCCTATTCAGTTGGATTGAAGCTGTCACCTTCTATAGGAGGCTTCTATTTCTGATCCAAAGGGGCAACTCCAGTTGTTCTCATCACCCAGCTAGAGGAAGGTATAACAAGTGTCCAAGCCAAATTTATTTCATTTCATGTTTCCTGTTTTGTTCCCATTTAATCCATCTTGTCTTACCATGGACTCAGTCTACATCCCAGCATGTCTGAATCTGAAGTTCCTCAAAGAAGTCTAAAAATGCACGTGCCAAACTCAGTTGCCAGTGCGAGCAAGAAGGAAGTACATAGGACAGTAAAGTGAATGTAAGGGTCCGTTAAATCCATAAAAGTAGACCAGATCAGAGGTCGAGAGCTTGTACGGAGTGACCCATATAGAATAAGACACATGTCGTTATATTTTGTACCAACTGCTCAGAATAAAAACACTTGAAATATTAAAGAAAAAAATAAGGTGTAAAAATTACTTCCTTTCACACTCCATAGGTCTGAACCTAGTCCACCAGCCACACTTGTAAGTGGGGCTGGAAAATGCAGCATATAACCCTGGGCAGCTAATTGCTGGGCTAAAATTCAGAGTGTTCTATTAATTAAAGGAAGGGTAGAATGGGTCTTAGGGTAACAGTCTAGCCGTGAATAAAGACTCCCTGATGGAAGGATTTTTTAAATTGCTTTATGAATATACCATAATCCCTAGGAAGGGGTGTTTTTTTTTCATAACAATGAATATAGCTAATATTGAACTAATGCTTTCTTTGATATTTGAACATTAGGAAAAATTGTCAGCTTTATTTCAACAATAGTGTTAATTAATGCCACTTTGAATTATCACAGCATGTGTTAAAACAGTGAGTTGTCACCATTTTCCTGCTTTCATTCCTTTGGGATTTGTTGAGTTCTTGTTGTACATCAGGCACTGAACTAGGCTAATATCTTAGCTCTTAAAGTGTTTCATCACTAAATACTCAGATGGAAAATGCGATTTTATAGAGTGCTATAAAAAATGAGATTTTAGTCTGAACTTATTTAAGATTCATTGTGAACGGTCGACTGTGTATGTTTTTCTCTCCCACAACAGGTTCTTCGGGTAGTTCGGCTTATTAAAATTTCACCTGCATTAGAAGACTTTGTATACAAGATCTTTGGTCCTGGAAAAAAGCTTGGGAGTTTGGTTGTGTTTACTGCCAGCCTCTTGATTGTTATGTCGGCAATTAGTCTGCAGATGTTCTGCTTTGTCGAAGAGCTGGATAGATTCACGACGTTTCCAAGGGTAAGAACAAAAAATGCAGTCAGTGTAATTCAGTTATTCTTATTTTAGTAGTAATGCTTAATGTCAAAGTCATTTCACTTTAGCAGTGGCTTAAAAATTACTGACTTTTTTATAACTTGGAGTAATTCAATTTTAATATTCACAGTGGTCTCTTCTACAGAATACAGGTGTCTGAGCACATTTTCAGCATTGTCAGATTATGTGTCAATTCTAAAATTCTGGAAACAATCGAATAGAATGAGATGCAAAAACCATTAAAGGTGGAAGATAGGGTTCTTAGTACCTATAAATGAAAATATAGCAGAACTTCTAAATTATTAATTTTAAAATGTTTAAAATGTGCTTTTATGTGTTTGTGAGAGGTAACATTTTAAATTTGTTTTACAATTCATGTGTATTTTTATGTCAGGCGTAATCTAGAAGAGAATTTTGATTTCCAATATATAAATTTCATAAACTCTTCAGATTTGAAGTGTCTTTAAAAGATCATCTAGTTCATAACTGTATTCTCATTAAGATTCACTTAGGTTAAAAAGAAAGTTAAAAACCAATCAATCAATAAAAAAAACTAATCAGTCCCTAATCAGAAGGACCCTGAAATTTAACTCTATAAGGATTTAGAAATATGAAAAAAATATAATGACCAAGACAAGGTTTATCACCATAAACTGAAATAGTAAGGTCTGTTATATGAGAAGAATTATTTTAGGGTAAGAACAACAAATAATACATCCAAAAAAAAAAAAGCTTTAAGGGTAAAGTTATGGGTAACATAATAGATAGACTAATATAGCCTGAGTTTTTTTGTTTTTTTTGTTTTAATCTTAACAGATAGACTAATAAACTCTGGGTTATTGTCATTTTTTTTAATCTTGTGCTAAATGTGTTACTCATTGCCAAGCATCTATTGAGTGTCTTATCAAGAACCAGGCAGTCTTGGCGACCCTGAGATATAAATGCCATTCAGTTCCCAGTCTTCAGGAATTCCAGTTGAGATGCAGGTAATTACTAAGCAAATATCAAGCATGACGGGCTTTGATAAAGGCAGACACTGGGGACCCAGAGGGAAGGTGCACAACCAGGGGTGGAAAAATCCAGAAAGGCTCTCTGGAACAGGAGGTTGGTGAAGAACAGCTGGATGAAGCCAGATGAAGTGCAGAGAACAGTGTTCCTTCCAGGTCTTGTGCCGAAGGTCTGAAGTGAGCCGTGTCTTGTTCCAGAACTTAAAGGAGAAAGAACAGTCGACGGCAAGGGGAGGACATAAAGCCAGGGAACTTTTAAATGGATGAAAGCATGATTGTGATTAAACGTTGCTAAGAGAGTGCAAGGAGTGGGCCACAGAGATGCATGAGGTCAGGAGAAGGACGGCAGGAGGTTTCCAGAGGCGGCTGCAGGGCCCGGCGCCGGGATTGCCCTTAGGCACGTGTTGAGCTGAGGCGCTCTTGTAGGATAGCGAGCCAGGCCCACAGTCACGGGAGCCTTGGTTCACTGCCCGCCCCGGTGCAGGCAGCAGGCAGGAGCGGGCGTGGCTGCCCCTGGCAGGGCAGGGTGAGGGGCTGGGGGATCGGCCCTGCTGTGGACGGGCGGGAGGGGCCTGGGCACTGCCTGGGAGTCCTGAACAAAGCTCCTGCCCACTTACGGGCCGGGGAGTGGGGGTGAGGGCGGGGGGCGCCTAGAGGAAGGGCTGGGAGTGAGAACGTGCTGAGTCAAGGTGGAGAACAGTGCTGAGCGCCGCCAGAAGAAGACTCCGAGTAGAGGCGTGTGGGCCAGGAAGCCAGCGACCTGAGCGGGCAGCCTGGGGGCCTGCCTCGCTCCCTGAAACTCCCTCCGGAGACTGCGGTGCAGGGCTGTGCCCGAGACCGAGGGGACGGGCAGCTTCCCTCCCCCGGGACCTTCCTGGTCATTGCCCGCGGTCAGGCAGCTTAGGATTGGCCTGGAACCAGACTCCCCTACAGGAAGGCCTGCTCTTCCTCCAGGGACGGAAGGATGCAAGCAAAGATGATGGTGTCATCATCAAGGCCAGCTTGTCCTAGGCTCCCCCTTGCTGCCCCCGCATTGGGTAAATACAAAGAGCAGACCGCCATCTTTGTTGTCTGTCTTCACCATCCACTAAGGATCAGCCTTTGTTCTGGGCGAGGGGGTACTAGGAAACAGCCTGTATTTATTTATTGCACAGACCTATCTTAATTTCATAATTTATCTTCACTTTTCACCCTTTCCTCTCATTTCACACAACTGATTTTATATCCTTTACCCCAAACCTCTTTTTGGAGTGCAGAATATTCCAGATATTTTAAGGGTGATATCTCACTCCAGAGTTGTCTGAATCAGCCTCCTGTAACCAATGAGTTAATATTTCTATAGCAGAACATCAATCTTCAGACAAAGAAGGATAAATAATACAATAAATAAGTCATAGATCAGGTCAGACTTTTGCCACTAAATGAGCTACCAACAAAACACAACAAAACACCTTTGGATATTTTCAAAATGTTTTGAATGTTGAAATTGAAAATAAGAGCTGTGGGCCTGCATACGGAATCATCATGGATAAGAGTCTATATGTCCCACTCCATTATATTTTACTTGCACTCACTCTGTCGTATCTGACTCTTTGTGACCCCACGCACTATAGCCCACTAGGCTCCTATGTCCATGGGATTTTCCAGAGAAGAATACTGGAATGGGTTCCCATAAGACACCAAACAAATTATACTTTAAACTTTTTTTTTACATCTAAAATATAGGCAAAAGTGGGACTTCCCTGGTAGTCCAGTGGCTAAGACTTTGCCTTCCAATGTAGAGGGTGTAGGTTGGATCCTTGGTCAGGAGGCTAAGATACCACATGCCACATGGTCAAAAAATAAAACAGAAGCAGTATTGTACCAAATTCAATAACTTTAAAAATGGTCCACATCAAAAAAATCTTAAAATACAGGCAAAAATGGTATTTTCCACATAGTATTGTGTGTGTTGAATAATATATAAACAATCCAACCCTGGGTTTAGAAAGCATTAGAAAAAAAAAGTGACATCCTATAAAATATATTTGGAATTGGCATAATACAGAGGCTACTCAGTATTAAAGACAAGGCTGCTTTAGATCCCTTGGGATTTGCCCTGTTTCTCTAGCTATAATAGTAATCAAGGAACATTGCATTTTCAGATCTCCAATTACTCAACTGTGCTTCTCTGCCTGATTACTGTGACCATCTTAATGAAAGCAGCCAGTGACTAGGGAGCCCCCTAATCAGTAACCCAGCAGCTGACAGGGTTGACACAGGAAGGGACTGGCTTTCTCCTTGCATATGGATACAGTTAAGAGTTAAATCCCCGAAACATAATCAAATTCTACAAGAAATGCTGAAAGTATTACAATTGCAGAAAGCAGCCGTTATCATTCCAAGTCAAAGCACCATCACTGGTGACACTTGCCTGATAGGAAGTGATCAGGAAAGATGGTTATAAACACAAGACAGCTATGCTTGATTTCTGTGGTCTTGCTTCCTTTCCTGCTCATGAGACGTGTCAGTGCTCAATGGTTGGGTGTTGAGGTGTGTGCTAGGTCACTTCAGTCGTGTCCAACTCTTGGCGACCCCATGGACTATAGCCCACCAGGTTCATCTGTCCATGGAACTCTCCAGGCAAGAGTGGAGAGTTGCGTTGCCGTTTCCTTCTCCAGGGGACCTTCCCCATCCAGGGATCAAACCCCAGTCTTCTGCATTGCAGACAGTTTCTTTACCGACCAAGCTACCAGGGAAGCCCAGCATTTGTGCCTGGAAAATCATTATTCGGGCTGTTTTCTGGAAGTTGACCTTGACGCAACCATCCAGGGAAGGTATAATCTCTCCAGGGAAACAAGCCTAGATGTAAAACCAAACCCTGATTTGATTGGACCTGATTGTATCTTGGGCTCCAGCAATCTACCATGAGATGCCTCTAAGAGGAGCTGACATGGACACGAAAGCTGGTTTCCTGTCCAAATCCCAGGAAGAGAACCCTGGAGGGACAGAGGGACAGTGAGACAACAGCAACCTGGGCAAACTAACTGACAGCCCAGCGCCTTGACCCTCTGATGCAGCTCCACCCACGTGGAAAACCCAGTGCTTCCTGAACTGAAAGGATGCTGAAGGGATTAGCATTATTCCACCAGTTCCCCATGGGTCTGCTTGCCTAACACCTGCAGCCCATTCTTCATTTGCATTAAAACTGCAAATTTACACCTTCTTAGGTATGAATTGTCTCATGCCATTCTCCCATTTAAAATGCTTCAAGATCCTCCTTTCCCTCAAGATAACAAACATTTTAATAGGGTTTTCAGTATCTTTTCATCTCTGGCCCCATCTCTTTGGACCCAGATTTCAGGATTTCCTCCAGCATTCCTTTCAAAGGCAGAGATAGTGTCTTTTTTTTTCTTTTCTTTTCTTTTTTACTTTTTTTCTCTTCTTTTAATTTTTTTCTTTTCTCTTTTAATTTTTTTTCTTTTCTTTTTTAAATTTTTTTTTTTTAATGTTGTGAGGCATGTGAAATCTTAGTTCCCCAACCAGAAATCGAACCCACAGTCCCTGCGGTGGAAACTCAGAGTTTTAACCACTGGACCACCAGGGAAGTCCATCCTGATGGTGTCCATCTTGTTCATTTAAATCCTCCATGTTCAGCACAACCGTTGCCACAGGGTAGCTGGTGAATACATGTTTGAATGAAGAATGATGCTGGACCAAAGCAAACCTCTCTGATCCTCCCACACCTTATCAGCTCAGCAGGTCAGATTCCTTCTTCACTGTTGTCCACAGCTCTGGGACCCCCCTTAGCCTCCATCATACCCCTCACCCTTCTCCCATCAGCAATGTCTGCATAATTCTGTCGGAATGCTTTGGCTGCCAGTAGGGAAAAACTGACTCCAACTGACTTAAACAATTAGGAAATTCATCTCACAAAATTCAAGAGATTAGGTAGATTTTAGGAAGCCGGCACTCTGAATCTTCCACGGAAATTCTCTC